TTGGGAATCTTCATCTGGGATTTTATTTCGGCACAAAACGTCCTGGTCCAGAAAACCCACCGTTCCTCTAAAGGGGGGCCGGGGTTTGGGCCTCAGACTCCCACAGGACTAAACCACCATTGATTTCTCCTCTAACAGTCCCCAATATCAAACCAGACCGGGTCCTTCCTCAGCCCGGCCGTCCGGTGCAGAGCAGACCCCCCGCAGGACCAGGGAGTCCGGCAAGAAACAAAAACCAGATTTTATTTCCCCTCAGAGTCCAGGAGTTAAAAACCCCGCTGCGGTCCGGGTCCGGGTCCTCCTCCGGTTCTCCGCTGCTGCAGCTGAACAGGAGGAGGAGGAGGAGGACGGACGGACTCGTGGATGCGGACTAGTGGTCCCCCTCCTGCTGGACCGGATCCAGGAGTCAAACCGGGGGGGAAAAAACCAGATCCAGAACCCCGGCTGAGGGTGCCCGGGCCGGCGGTGATGAGGCGGGCTGTGGGTGTCAGGTTCTCCGGCTCCAGCCTGTTTGTCCGCACTGCAGCTCTGCCTCCACCAGCGTCAAGCCCCCGTCACACAACCACAACCACAACATCCGGCCACCGCTTTCAAAATAAAACTCCCTCTGAAGCACACTTCCCTCAACAAAGAACAAAGTGGGAGTTTTTTATATTTCCTTTAATTTTCCCCCTTTTTCAATAAATATGTTTTATATTATCATCGTTTTTATTATTACTTTATTTATCTGTAAACTTAATGTTTATTTAATCTCTCAGTGCTTGTCTGCATATACTGTCAACATGTATAACACTATGGAAATGAATCATATATTATATTCAATGTACAGTTAATTATGTCTGCACATGTACACTACAGTATATCGCTATCATTGTACAGTGTTGCTGCATCAGCACTTAGTATAGACTTCAGTGTTATTCCATACAGACTGTACAGCCTCATATTCACCTTACTTACATAATGTCACTGCTGCTCTGCTCTGGTACAATATTTAAGTTCTCACAAAGAAATTGTTTTAATTAATGATTAAAACAATGCAATGTTAATAATAAAAGCTCAGCTGATAAAGAACATTTATGTTAAAAATGTTAGAATAAAAGTTTATGCTTTTTGTTTTAATTTGAAGATGTGGTTGTTCATTATTTGTTTATATATTTAATGTTCATCCTGTTAAATGGACAATCCTGCACCTCACGTCCAGCTTTTAGGAATATCCACCTGACTTTTACTATTGAGTGATGTATTATTATATATTACTATATTCACCATCATCACATTCACCATCAGTAACTATTTGATCTATATATATATATATATATATTACTAATTTGAGATATATTTATAGAGTTTAATATGTTTAATATGTTTTCCTGTTTTGTTGATAACATTAATGATGTCATTTCTCTCATTAAGGAACAGTGTGTGCTCAGTACCATTATTACAACAGGAGATACAATAAATTTTACTTATTATTTTGCATCTGATTTACTTTATTTTACTGTAGATCATTTTCTTGATACATTATTTAATTGTTTGGCCGATAAGATATTAGAAAATTGTAAAAAAAAAAAAATGCTTGTTCTGTTTTGCAGAATTCAAATGTGACTTGTCTTCAAACGTCTTGTTCTGTCTGACCAACAGTCCCAGAGGCCTGAGACTTTACTGTGATATAAACAGAGAAAAAGAGGAGGAGGAGAAACTGGAATTAACGAGGAAATGTTGTTAATTTACGTGTTTGGCAAGTTGCAAATACGCTGATACTGAACGATTCAGTAAAATGTTCACAGACATTTTCCACCAAAATATCTGATCTCACAGAACAACCTCCACCTGCGGCTCCAGCAACTGAACTGTTTCTGGTTCTGTTCAGACTCTCACAGATCCAGGTTCCGCTCAGAGAAAGATCCTACATTTAACCTGAACCTCCATCTTTAACCGACCGGAACCACAGAGCGGTTTGTCTGAACCACAGACGGGACTCTGGACGTGGACCTGGTCTCTGGAGAGTCCTGAACCAGCTCTCTGCGGCTCCTTGCATTAATTGAACATTAATATATTCAGAGACAACACACACACGGTGGTGTCAAAATGCAGTGATGTCCATCAGCGTCTCAGGACATGTCACTGTCCTGCAGCATTTCCCAGAGTCAATGTGAATCAGCGTTTCAGAAAACTCTCCATTTTTATCACATTTCTGTTTCAGATCTTTGACCTTTTTGTATTTTGGTCCTGAGCCACTGACAGATTCATATACAAGCAGCGGTTTTTTAAACTCTAACCTCTTTATTTTTAACCAAACTGAAAGCATTTTCTGCTTCTAGCTTCTCAAATCTGAGGATTTTACACTTTTCTTTTTTGCACTTTTTACTGTTCATTGAACAAAATGAGACATTTGAAGACGTCACCTTGGGCTCCGGAAAAATTCTTTTTTTAAATGTATTTGACATTTTATGGACAAAATGGTTAATTAACATAATTGGCAGATTAATCAGTAATGAGAGTAATCCTGAGCTGCAGATATAGCTCAATAAGCATAACAAGCAGGTACAATCAGGCTCTTGGTGGAGCTTTTTAGCCTCTCAGATTACAACCAGGCCTCACCTTGTTTACTGGTGAAGGCTATTAAGGCATGCGGTCTGAAGGAATACCTGCAGACATCACTCAGGGCTCAAAATGGGAACTGCCCACTGTGTTTTTCTGGATTAAAAAAACATAATCATTAAATCAGTATTTTTACTTTTCATATTGTCATATTGGACCAAAATAAGATTATTAAGCACAATGTGTCGTAAAGATGCAAATAACTACATTTTTCTCCTTTTTTTTTGTTTTTTTACTGCTAACTGCTACTAACTAACTGATACTGGATTCTACTTTTAATAAAAAACAAAATACTACAACTGTAATATTTTCCCTTTAGAAAATTGTTAATCTTATTTTGGTAGATTTTATTTATTTAAGATGATTGGAAAATATTCCACCACTGTAAACAAACAACCACCATGTTTCCCTACCTCCTTAATACTTTCAAATTTTTATTTTATTTTTTTGATTTTATATTTAAGTGTATCTTTTTATTTTGAAAATATTGACCGGATGCGGGGGGCTGTATTTAATGAATCCACCTTGACGGTGACTCCCTCATTTATAATCAGACGGTAGCAGCTGAGTGAGGCAGGCGGCGCTGTTCAGTCCCACCCTCCGAGCAGCACCTGAACGCCTCATCGTCCCTTTCCTTTACCGTCGAGCCTTTTCTACTGTTGTTCTAACGCTGTTCTACTGTTGTTCTAACGCTGTTCTACTGTTGGCTCCATGTTGTCACAACGTTCCAACAACATCCGGAGCAGCGGGAGGCTTTTATTTTCTTAATAAAAGACAATAAATCCAATAGATTGGGTTTTTCTAATGAGACTCTACTGGTCCGACATCCTTCCTGTGGCCTCCCTCTCACACACACACACACACACACACACACACACACACACACACACACACACACACACACACACACACACAGCGACAGCCTGACTCCTCAGCATCAGCATCACGTCGCTTCGGTTTCGTGTTCGATGTTCGCTTCGACCGGGTGGGTTCGGTTCGTTTCTCTGTTTGCGACGCGGCTTTTGTTTGTTTGTTTGTTTGTTTGTTTGTTTGTTCGTTTTCTTACCTGAATGTTGTTTTCCGTCCGGACGACAGAGAGCCGAGCAGGATCCACTCCCTCTGCTCCATCTCCACAGCATCAGCACCACACACACACACACACACACACACACACACACACACACACACACACAACACACACACACACACACACACACACACACACACACACACACACACTTCCTCTGTATCTCCATGTTGAAGCTGCAGCTCCACACCGCCCCCTGCTGGTCCGGAGTCCGTATCAAAAATAAAAGTACCATGTAGTTAAAGTATCAGCAGTAAAAGTACCATGTAGTTGAAGTATCAAAAGTAACAATACCATCTAGTAGAACTACCAGGTAGTTTAAGTATCAGTAGTACCATGCAGGTAAAGTATCAGCAGTGAAAGTACCATGTAGTTGAAGTATCAGTTGTAATAGTACCATGTAGTTAAAGTATCAGCAGTAAAACTACCATGTAGTTGAAGTATCAGTATTAAAAGTACCATGTATTTAAGGTATCAGTAGTAAAAAGTATCATGTAGTTAAAGTATCAGTTGTAATAGTACCATGTAGTTGAAGTATCAGTATTAAAAGTACCATGTAGTTGAAGTATCAGTAGTAAAAGTACCATGTAGTTGAAGTATCAGTAGTAAAAGTACCATGTAGTTGAAGTATCAGTAGTAAAAGTACCATGTAGTTGAAGTATCAGTAGTAAAAGTACCATGTAGTTGAAGTATCAGTAGTAAAAGTACTAGTTCCTGCTGTTCGACATCAGATCATTAAACCTGAGTCACTGAAGCTTCAGCAGCATTTCACTGGTGAAGCTGCTCCAGCCACTTTAAACACAGTCAGTTAGTTCAGTCCAGTGGTTTCCAACATGGGGGTCGGGGCCTCTAAAGGGACACCAGATAAATCTAAGGGGTCGATGATCAATGGGAGAGGACAGGAAACGGATGGACGGAGTATTAGGGGCCACACTGAGGGAAAAAAATTTAAATTATGAGAATAAAGTCGTAATTTTACAAGAAAGTCATATTTCAAGAAACAAGTTGTAATTTTTTACTTGAAATATTACGACATTTTCTCGTAAAATTACAATTTATTTTCTTGTAATATTACGACATTTTTTTCTTGAAATATGACTTTTCAAAATATTACAAATCTTTATTGAAATACGACTTTTTTCTCAAAATATTATGATTTTCTCGTAAAATTATGCCTGAATTCTCATAATATTAACAACTTTTTTTCCCCCCAAAATATAATGACTTTCTCTTGTCATGATATTGTTTTTCATGTTCAGAGAACAGAGAGAAATATATCATAAAAATAAATATAAAAACTGGAAAAACTTCCCACAGATTAAACATCAGTGTAAATACTCTTTATGTGAAAAATACTAATTTCATTTGTGTCTCTACAGAGAGCTACAGGACAGAAATATAAAAATATAACACTGGACATGACTCAGATTACGACCTGATCGACACATTGCACTGAACAGACATTAGACCGACACATATCTGGCACTAGGAGATGATACTGCGTGTAAAACTGTGTATAAATGATAGAATCAGCTTCCCTTCATATATATTTGTACATAAGTGTCTATACGGAGCTGAACGTCGGGTTCGCAAAGTTCCCGTTGGTCTGAGCTTCAGGGTCGTCGCTCTCAGCGAAGTCTTCAGGGTCGAGATCGGCCTCAAACATCCGCTGCAACAAGGCGTCCACCGTCCGATATCCTGACAGGAGACACCCACAGAATCAGCAACACCACCCAGACTGATAATCAATACTGTGCTCTTCATTTCTTCCATTCAATTCTATATAAACAAATCACTTTATCTCATTATTGTTATTTCACAAAACCAATATATCTGATTAAAACAAACTTTTCTCATTAAAACATAATAATTTCATATATTTTAATAATTATTATAACAAGAAACTTCCATACAATATTTAAACAAGAAATAATATCACATGACTAATAAAGATATAACACGATGATGTAGCTGTCTGTTAAATTGTTTCTTTGTATAATGACTGTAAATACAGTTTATCAGTCATGTTATTGATCTGCTCCAGGCTACAGATACATGATAAGGAAGTTTCCTGTTATTACAACATAGAAACTTATCACATTATAATGAAATAATGATAATTATAAGATAATTAGTTTTAGATTTAATTAGTTATAATTAGTTTTAACGAGTTGTGTTGCTTTTGTGAGATAGTGCGAAAGTTCTGTGATATAACGAGATAAATTTGTTATAACAAGAAAAGTTTCTCGTAAAAACTGAATTAACTGGTTTCTCACAATAACCAATAAAAATACATTATATTAACATGAAAAATATATAATATACACGAACAGGAGATTTTGAAAACGAAAAGAAAGAAAAGAAAAGTTTCTTTGAGAAAGTGAGCAAATATTTTCTTTGTCACGTTGGCGGCAACACGCTTTTGTTTTGAAAAGGAAAATTAGTTAAATGTTAAATTTAACAGCAAGTTTTTAAAAAGTGATAAAGTGGGATTTTTACAAAACTTGTTACTAACACCAGCATGCTAACACGCTCACACTGCTAACATGCCTTTGCTTAGTGGGTACAACGTCACCATTTTCAACACCATGCTAACATTTGCTAATTAGCGCTAAACAGTACAGCTGATGGGGCTTTCATTATTCATTTATTTTTCAACCAAATTTTTGCCCGTCCCTCTTGGATCTGTAGATCCCAAGAATGCACCCTTTCAAAATAAAAGCATGTACTTGTTACAAACGTTCCCTCTCATTCTCTGATTCTTTAAAATCATCTCGTCTTTTCTCCACGTGTTTTACGTCCTCCCTCAGGCTCTGAGAGTTTCTTACTTTTCGAAGCGATTTTAAACATCAGGCTGGGTTTGTTTGCTGCTGGTGATTGGCCGGTTCCCAGGTCGTTGTCAATGGTTTCCATAGCATTCACCAGGTTATCCTGCATCTTCTCCCTGGTTTACATAAAAACAGCACGGACAGTTATTACACAGCATGTTTTATAATGTTACCTTCCAGACGACACTCAGGACAAAAAAACATCAAATAACTAAGTGAACGTGAGTCACAAAAACTGAATCAGAATTTTTTTTTCTCATTATTTTGAAGCTAAATTTTAAAGTTAAATTTGCTAATTATCATTTAGTCCACATCTATATACTTTAAACTAATGATTCTCAACCTGGACAAGAGCTGAAAACTTAAACATTTCAGATTTTTTTCAAATCTTTGCTTTGTTTTTGTGAATTATTGGAAAAATAAAAAAAATAAATATATATATATATATATATATACTGTATATATATTCCAATTAAACACAAGGTAAAAAAAGAGGGTTTAGAAGCAGATGTTTTGGTTTAAGGGTCACAAAACAGAAACTTTGGGATCCATTGTTTTAAAAATGTGAAATATCCAATTTATTGTCAGACTCTGAAATATATGCTGTAAACAAATGAAGTACTTTAAAGGACCAGGACAGTTTTTCAGTCATGTTTTAGTCACTTAGATTAGATTAGACTTTTGGTTTCAGTTTATTTCTATTAAAATAATCCATCCGAATTAAAGTTTAGGAAGTTTTGTTTTTTGGTCAAAAGTATTTATTTAACAGTTTTGTAAAGAAGGTGTGCTCCAGTTAATGTTTGAATGTTGAATGTTTGGTTGTCATGGTAACGTACTGCTCCACAGCCAGCTCCAGTTCCTCAATCTTCTTCTCCAGAGACGTCTGCAGGTCGCTCTTATCCACCGAGTACTCCACGAAGAACGCCTCGAGGACGAACGCCACGAAGATACTGAGGGACGACAGCGGGGAGACGTGATTACAACAGACCGAGAGACACAACGCACACGGACATGATGTCATGTATTTCTAAAAACAAGGACAGACGGCGAAGGTGACACCCTCTGCAGGTGGTTTAGTTGTGGCTATATTACACACAGACACCACAACTTGAGCACCATTTATTTTTTGTCTATATTTTTTTCACATTTTGTTAAATTGGCACCATTAAACATATGCCGAATTAGCTATTAGCACTTCCTGTTTGCAGTGAACGCATACATGTACAATCAGCTCTCACTGGTTTACTGTGATACTGAGGAAAACTTAAAAACTGGGCGATTCTCCGGCAAGTTCTGGAGTTAAAAAAAACATTTTTTTCAACGATAAGACAAAATCTATTTGATTTACTGCAGAGTACAAACTGCTGTGTAACACTTCTCATGAGATCATTACTCATCAATAGTAATCAATCAATACTCATTAAAGAAACTGCAGAATCTGCTCAAGATAAAGCTCCAACACTGTTTCCCTCAGGAGCAACGACTCGTCTCATTATCTGTCCGTGTAGGATCATGTAGATACAAATAGAAGCTAATTTATATCATTTCATACCAGAATATTTAAGTTGTGAATTTAGCATGAAGTTGTTACACTGAACGAATAATATAACTATTAACGATGTAGTGTGATTATAGATCAGCTCTAGCTTCTATATTAATACTGTGAAAGTATCAAAGCCTCAGTCCACAGAGAAATGCACACAGCCTGTATTCAGAAACTGAGCCTTAAAACCAGCCGTCAGGACTTCTGGAACTTTGTGATGTCACAACAAAGCAGTCACCAAGCCCCGCCCACCTGGACCCACCATCCAAACCTTGCAGGATTTGGTTTCTCTGAGTGTTTTACCTGAAATCTGCTTTATTTTTATTGGATCACTCAGAAAACAGTCAGCCAATCAGAAGAGAGGCTCAGAGCCTCCTCTCTTCTGATTGGCTCACCGACCTGTTGTTACTAGAGCTGCAGAGAGAAGCCTGAGAGAGGAGATGTAAAACTACACTGAGATGGTTTTTATATCTTCTGATGGATCAACACTGGAAACATGGAGCTTTAAAAGTTTCTACAGTCCAACAATTAAAAACATGTTGCTATATGATGAAAGATAAACCAGGATAAACAGATGTGGAGGATTATTATCAAGTAGTAGAAAAACAGACAAACTGTAGCTGTTTAATTCACATTAGTCCACAGACTGATTATAATAAATGATGGATTAAAATAAAGATGAGATGTTTATGTTTTAGTAACACTTGTGATGTCATTCATGGGATAAGCAAGTGTGAGGAGAAAGGGGCAGTGATTCGCATCAGTCTTACTTGATGATGACGATGACGACCAAGATGTGGAAGAGGATGAAGAAGATCCTGGCGGACACGTGGGTGACGGCGGCGAAGCCGCTGCTGAGCAGTGAAGTCACGTTAAGGAATCACAGAGTTCAACACAAATCTGAATCAACCGGATCAAAGACATGACTCTCAAACATCACGAGAGGAAGAATCTGTGAGGAAGACCAGCAGGAGGATTTCATCGTGAGTATAGAGATTTAGATTTTAAGTATGAGGCATTCAAGTAAAAAAGGATATCGTGCCACTGGTTGACCACGGTGAGCTCCACCAGCAGGATGAATGAGGACACCACATTGTTGAAGTTGTTCTTGCAGTAGTTGAGTTTAGCGAAGTCCGTTCCCTGCAGCAGAGGGTTCCCACAGTACGCCCCCGCCGGGTTACCAGAGTCCTTCTCATAAAACTTCACCTTCCCTTTGAACAGCTCCATCCCCACCATGGCAAAGACGTAGTACACCACCTGTGGAGGAGGAGGAAGAGGAGGAGGAGGAGGTCCAGTCAGGGTCAGGACAATGGGATGCTAACTCTTTTAGCCACATTAGCAGCAGGCGTTCATGTTCCCCTCAGGATAAACTCTGACTTTTCCTCTAGCGCCACCATCAGGTCACCAGTCCTTCAAAACTAACGAGACTCCCATCAGCCTCAGCTTTTCTTAGCTAAACAGCTAATAATAGCAGCCTTACATGCTAAACTAGGATGGTGGACACAGTAAACGTTATTTCTGCTAAACATCAGCCTGTTAGCATTATGTGAGCATGTTAGCATGCTAATGTTAGCATTCAGCTCACAGTACGACTGTATCTAAGAACAGCCTGTCTCTGTACATCGTTCATTTTTTATGTGCGGCGGCGGCGAACGGCAGCATGCCCGTTAGCAGCGTGTCTTGAGCAGTGTGGAAGTCCGGGTAACCGTATGGTAATGAGGCAACCAATCAGAATGTAGAAGTGCTCTGCTCTGGAGAACACCTGAGAACACAATGGTGTAAACTTTTGTTCCCATCAACCTTTTGTTCCCAAGCACAAACTGTGGATGGCGGGTTTCTCCGTCCTTTACCACATGTCGCTGTTTGTTTACAGGGACTTAAATAAACAGGAGGGAAATGCATGCTAACTAGTGCCAAAGCACGCAAAACAGCATGCTATGGCCAACAAACTTGCTAACGGTCTATTTCATCTACATCAGCACGCCCACGAACTTCAGCAGCATCACTGACCGGGCAGCCAAAGAGATCTTTCTTGCTCTCGTCTGGACTACTTACAATTTTTCTGGGTGAAAAATATATAATATATAATATCTCAACAGGAAAATCTGCAACTTACGATGATGAGCTGCCCGAACGTGAGGATGGCTGGTCCGATTCTGATCAGGGTGTTGATGATTGTACGAAACCTAAGAGAGGAAACAGTCCTCATCGTTACTACAGCAACACATTCAGCCATAAAACACAACTGTGGACCAATCAGGACAGATGAGGAAGTGACATCACATCATGATCTCATCTCACATTTTCTACATCTCTACACAAAGGAGCCCGTCCCAGGTGTCCAGCCAGTGCTATGGCTACCTGCAGGTTAATATAGACACCTTGAGCCAATCAGCCAATCAGAGACAAGTATTTTTTGATGGCTGAATCAGTGAAACATGCAATCGTGGGTCGAACCTTTTGATGCTGTCCACCACCCGGATCAGTCTGAGGACTCGCAGGATGAAGACGATGTCCAGGATCTGGCGGCTGGTGTAACCGCCCGCTACAACAGGACGGGTTCATCAACACAGATACGTCAGTAAACTGGAGCAGGGCGGAAACTATCAGTTTCATTTTTTAAAACAATTTACAATTGAAAAATTTCCTGAGTCCAGTGTCAAGTCCTCAAATGTGATGTTTTGTAGTTTTGATATTCAGTTTCTACCGATCAGAGGAAACATTTTCAACAGATAAATGACACATTATAAAAATTATTTCCAATTAATTTACTCACAATATACTTCAATTAATGTACTTATTGTTTCAGACCTTTCACTTCCTGGTAGAGCATGTAGCATGATGGGTTCGAGTCCGACTCGTGGCTCTCTCTCTCTCTCTCTCTCTCTCTCTCTCTCTCTCTCTCTCTCTCTCTCTCAGAATAAGAGGCAAAAAATGCCCCAAATAATTAACTTTAAAAAGATATAAAACCATCAGCACTCACATGATTTCATGGCAGAGTTGACGATCGTGGCGATGAGAGCAGAGATAACGATGATGGTGTCGAACCTGGAAACAAAATAGTTAAAAAAGAAAAAAAAAAACTTAGAGAACGAACGTTTCGAGTTGAACTTATAAAAACTTCTCTTCAGCAGCGATGAGGCTGAAAGCAAAACCAGCGTTAGCTTAAAACGAAGCTCATCGTTTTCCACATGATGTCACTCTTGACATCAGCAACATGTTGAACAACAGAAACGTATCATGGATGTATCAACAGAGCTGGATGCTGACAATCTGCCCCGGTGGCCACTTGCGGTACTGCAACTAAAAAAAAATCCCCCACAGCCTAAAAATCATTTCCCCCATTGACCTCCATTTTAAAAGAGACAGGAAATGGTTTTATACGTGTAAAACTTTCTGTTTTCACTTTAGTGACGGGGAGAAATCTTTGAGTCCAGTGTCCAGTTCTTATAATACGTCCATGAAACATGCCAACACACTGCTGGATACATATCTGAAGTCACTGCAGCTGCACTGCTCACCAGCAGGGGGCACACAACTGTAACAAAAAAAAACAAAAAAAAACATCTAAACAGCTGCAGCAAACGAGTTTCATATGATGCAGTTTAATACACTCAGGTAAACATGTCCAATCTAATGTAAACAAATACATCTGTTCTGTCATAAACGTTTATGATGCCAATAATGTTCAGTTTTTTTTAACACCGTCATAAAGGTGTTAAATCATTACATGTTGTAGTGCTGAGGTCATCGTTATATTCAGAGGTGTTTCTAATATTCTGACGCCTCATGTAAACATAGAGGATGTCCACTGCAACACCACCTTAAATTATGACCTCAATAATCAACATATCATTGTTTTCCATCAATGTCAACAAAACACTGAACATTAATGACGTTGTAAAAGATAGAGGTTATGGCAGAGCTGCTGCACTGGAGTGCATTAGATTGTACAGATGATCTTAATAAAATAAAATAAAATTAATATTTAAAAAGTGTAAAAGGTCTGAAAGAAAAAACTGAAACGGAAAAAAAACCAAAATACAAAGATGAGTGAGTTTACTCCTTAATGCCAGCGTTTGTATTTTATCTGTTTTTTTATTTACAGTTTTGTTTTCTCTTTTTTTTCCCTTATGTTTTGAATCGTACGGAAGCCCTGAAGGCAAGTGAAAAAACTTCTTTTTTAAGGATTTGTTGTTGTAATACTCATTTCAGCCACAAGAGGCTGAAGTGCATCACTACCTCAGTCTAAATGCGACTAAAAGCAGTTGAGGCTGAAATGAGTGTTACAAAAAAAAAATCCAGACAAATAAAAAATGATTTTACATTCCTCTCAGGGCTTCCGTAGAGAAATCTTTGGTTTGTGGCTTTTTTAAAACAATGTTTACATTTTTTTCTTTCAGACTTTATGGCCTCAAGCTAAACTCCATAATTCAGAAACATTTTTACTACCTGACGATAAAAAACAAACAATAACAAACAATAATAAACAATAATAAACAATAATAAACAATAATAAACACAGCTGCTGCCTCAAGCGGGTCCAAGCGCTGCAGATAAACGAAGCAGCAGATCACGTCACAGAAGCTGAAACACGTGTCACATACCTCGTGCTTATAATCTGGGACGAAGATAAGCTGCGTGAAATGAATGTGACACAGCTCATTGATTATAGATTTGTAAAGTGCAAATGTTTTCATTGTGAGCTTCATCGGCTCTCGTCATATTGAACGACAAAACATCAAAAAATACATCATTACTATTATTATTATTATTTTGCACTAAATTCTGCACATTTTCTTCAAGAATAATAATCAGATTTCTATCTATCAGGAGGTGGAGCTTCAGACACGTTTCAGGTGTGCAACACTTAATTAGTTCATTTGAATATGAACATTTTCCCACGAGCATCATGGGATATCTGAAATCAGGTCACAGTTTTGGCTTCAGAAGCTACAGACACTCCGGAGCCTCTTCAGCGCTTCGTTTCATCCACACGAAAACCAGTTGAACTTTGACTCCAGCTCCCTGTAGACGATCGACGGAAACACCCAGAATCCTTTGCTCATTTGGGATAAAGATTCAGTTAAATTCAAACATGAACCAACAGTAAACGTGACACAAGGCGAGGACGCCGTCAGCCCGGTTCCTCACCAGTTCCAGAAGCTGTGTCTGGAGAAGAACGCCCGCGGCTCGAACACGTAGAGCTTCAGCAGGATCTCCAGCAGGTAGAGCGCCAGGAACACCCACTCCGAGTTCGCGATCATCGGATTCTCCTCGTCCAGACCGATGAAGATGGCGTTCACCAGGATGATGATGTCATACACGATCACAAAGGCCCTGAAAGCAAAAACACACACACACACACAGAGCAGCGTTATAACCTCCATCAGCTGACGTCGTTCCTGCAGGTCACATCTGGTCACATCTGGTCACATCTGGTCCGGTCTTACCGGTGCTGGACCATCCGGCAGAGCAGGCGGCTCGGGGCCGACAGGTAGAAGGCGGGGCATACACTGTGAAATGGGTGTGGTCTGGACTTGAGTGTGATCACCTCGATGTTCAGGAGGTCGGCCAGCTGCACGAACGCCACTTTACCTGCGGATTAACCAACACACACAAAACATTACATCAAATAAATAATAAATAAAACTATAGAAGAAGCTTTCGGGTCATTTATATAATTTATACAATCATATTATATATGTAGTTTCCACCACTGCATTAAATCCATGGTGTACAGAAATGATATGTGATTATAGTTATAGTCTTTGTGTGGTTTCTGCTGCGACCACTAGGGGGCAGCATATCAGAGAAGTTAATCTGCACATCAGGGCTTCAAACTGTTGGGACTGGACTCTCTGAGATGAGACTGTGAACTGAACCGACAGTGCTGAGTTTTTCATGGTGCGTTCAGGTGCTTCTTCTCAGCTCATCAAGTCAGATATTACATCATTTACCAGCAGGAAGTGTCTCTCAGACAGGCGGCAATCCCAATGATACACAGAGTCATAAACAGTTGCATGGCGACAATATGGTCTAATTTCCTACTGGGGACATTTCTCATCATGTCCCTGTCACTTTTATCGTTTGTCTGATGCAGAGTTTATATTCTACATCGACACATGACGGTGTTTTATAGGCTGATCCCAGTGTTTCTACTATTTTATTCAATGATTTCCTAAAAGGTGGTGGGGGCCCTCATTATTACTATTGAATTACTATCCCTGATGCACTCATTAATTAACTAATCAGCATTTTACAAAGTGGTGCTAATTTAAAGCTCCATATTTTCTTCTTCTGTGTTTTATTTGAAGTGTTGATCCATCAGAAGATATAAAAACCATCTCAGTGTAGTTTTACATCTCCTCTCTCAGGCTTCTCTCTGGAGCTCTAGTGACATCAGGTCAGTGAGCCAATCAGAAGAGAGGAGGCTCTGAGCCTCTCTTCTGATTGGCTGACTCTTTTCTGAGTGATCCAATAAAAATATAGCAGATTTCAGGTAAAAACACTCAGAGAAACCAAATCCTGCAAGGTTTGGATGGTGGGTCCAGGTGGGCGGGGCTTGGTGACTGCTTTGTTGTGACATCACAAAGTTCCAGAAGTCCTGACGGCTGGTTTTAAGGCTCAGTTTCTGAATACAGGCTGTGTGCATTTCTCTGTGGACTGAGGCTTTGATACTTTCACAGTATTAATATAGAAGCTAGAGCTGATCTATAATCACACTACACATGGACACAGACCTTTACACTATCTACAAACTATAGATACTAGTAAAGTTAAAGTAAAATGTTCCCTTCTGAAATGTAGGTTAACAGTGAACGTGTCCCTGTATGCTCTCTGTGTGTCTGTGTGTGTGTGTGTGTGTGTGTGTATATGGGTATGTGTCACTGTGTGCAACACCCTCCATGTGCAACGATGATGAACAACATCTGGCTTGATGTGATATCAGCTCCTCTGGTCAGTTGTTCTCAGCTCTGAGCTGAAGACGATGACGAGGCAGTTTGACTTCCTCCATGTGGGAGATGAGAGTTCAGATAGCGACGCGGCAGAGTTCAGAGGTGTCGGCAGCCGTGATGCTGCAGAACGCCGCTGCACGAGCCTCGGCTTTGAGGATGACACGTTAGTAAACGACATGTCGGCGCTCGCTGAAGGAGACTGTGATGATCCTCAGAGACAAACATGGAGGCTATTTGAACACCTCACACACACACACACACACACACACACACACACGTGTGTGTGTGTGTGTGTGTGTGTGTGTGTGTGTGACCCACCGATGGACCCCTGGTTATTGTCGTCACAGACGCTCCACAGCAGCTCTCTGTGGGCGTTGCTGATGTCGGGCTGGACCAGCCGGACCACCTGGTTCCAGTTGGCCTGGGTCACCACCGGCCCCCCCCCCTCCTCCCTCTGCTCCTGCAGGACGGCGAACGCTCGCACCATCTTGTGCCTTTTGGCCCTGACCAGCTGCCGTACCTCCTCCTGTCGGACAAGGACGTGTTCATTCAGTGAGTGAGAAAACAGAACTCAGACTGTGAGTCACAAATATTCATTGTTTGATTTCGTGATCAGCTGATGAAACTTTTCATCCTTTAATTCGCCTGAAAACGTCCTGAACACACGAAGAAAACAAACAGACTCACAATTACATATTTATGAGCCAGAAATAAAGTGTGTGTTCTTCTTTCTTTCTTTGTATCTTATTATGAAAATTTGTAGAAAATCAAAACTTTTTTCATTTTCTTTTTAACAACTAACGACTAAAGTCTCAGGAAAGATAATGAATTATTTACATGGTGCATATTCACACACAAAGTACCTGGGACACACCTGAAGACTGGACAGCTGACCTTTCAGCTTCTGTTTCTACCTGTTTTCACTGATTCAGTTTGTTTTAACTGAACTCCTGATGTCCTTTTCTTTATCTACTCGACATCGTTGCACGTGAAGGCTTTACCCTCAGTGATCTTCTTTATCTTTAAATAAAGACGTTTATATAATAAAAGGCCAAAACAACTAAAAGGAAAAAGGCTCAGAGTTGAGCTGAGCTCCTGGACGGACTGAAGGATCAGTCAGGTAAAGGTGTTTATTCACCGTCTCAAACAGAGCTGCACGATATGCAAAAGAAATCATAGCACCACAGGTGCCAACAACGCACGACCACGTGCACTTGGCAGCTCCCGTCTGAATCTGAAGCCTTCAGATTACAATCTCATCATGTCACACTGCATGACTTTCTCTGTCAACACCAGCTGATCCAGTTGGACCGGAACCGACCCGTTCCAACCTGCTTCCTGGTTTCTGGGCCTCTGGGAAAACGTGTTTTCAGCCGACTTGTACAAACCGTCGCACCTTCAGGTATTTCTTGTAGTTGTTGTAGACGACGGCCAAGAAGACGGACATGAAGATGTAGGTGTTGATGAGGATGTACATGATGAAGAAGATGGCGAACAGGAAGCTGGCGTTGTACGCCGGCATCCTGCAGACGAGCAGCAGAGAACAACAGTGAGGCGGCCTCATTAACAGACAGAGAAACATATAAAAACGCCGTGCAGAGGTCACTTCCTTCTTCTTTTCTCTGCTGCAGAGAAAAGAAGAAGGAAGAACGCTGCAGAAAAGTCCATGTGGCTTTAAAGCTAATTTATAATATAAAAGATACAGAGCTATTAAACTGGAATTGTTAAGTATTAAATTCACCTTAAAATTTAAATAAAACTGTAGCTGCAGGCGACAAACAGGATCCAGTGTCACAGACGGTCCAGACAGAAAACCGGATTTTTCAAATTTGTTTGTCATTACAATTTACTACATTAATGTTTTTTAGTTTGTTTTGTTTTTAATCAATTCATTTTCTAAATTTAGATGCTGCTATAGTAAAAACTCAAAAACAAAGACTCGAGAACTTTTTTGACAAAAGAAAAAAAATGTAAAAAAATGAAAACTGAAATAAAAAATGAGAATTATAATAAAATGATTCTGTTTCGTCTCTTTATAAATTTCTTTCTGTGCAAAAAGTGTCTAATAACCAACTTCCTTGTTTATATTAAGATATTATATAAAAGAATATTTCATATATATTTTATATTTTAAAAAAAAAGGAAATGCATTATTATACATGATTATACCAGAATCATGTTTCAGTGATGATTTCAAACGTCGTCGACCTCGCTCCGCTGAGTGATGGGGAACGTCCCTGAGTCACTTCAGCACTGGATTTTAATCTACTTTCACTCTTTTGATGAAGATGTTCACGATCATTTCATTTGACGTATAAACCCAGTATCACTCCATATTATTTCTCTCGTCTTTCACATCAATCTTTAGTTTTTGTCGTTGTACGAAAAATAAAAAACATTTCGTCATGTCGTCGTTTTCTTTGTGAAAAACAAGTTGCTGATGAACATCTGCAGAGACGGCGGCGACAGAGCTGCAGCGCGTTCATGTTTCACGAGGACGGGAACAGATTGAACACGTTTGTCAGAGCTCCAGGAGTCTTACATGACGTCGGGGCTGTTGGCCGTGGTGACGAGGACGTACAGGTCGAACACGATCTCCAGGTAGTTGGTGAAGTACGGAGCTCCGTCTATGGTCTTCAGGCCTCTGCAGAGAAAACACACACTTCACACTCAGCTACACACACACACACACCTCAGTCAGGCTTTTTCATGCATCGGTTTTCAAATTAAAACTCAAAATAACTTGAATTTGTCCGTCACACGTTTTAACACTTGAATGTCTGAAAACAAAATGGTTCCACGTTGTTTAAGATGATGAAATGATCAATAATAATCGATTATAAAATGACTGGAGGGACGGCGGCTGTCTCACCGTTTGCCGAGCAGCTTCAGCGCCATGAGGGAGAAGATGAGGACGCTGAACATGAAGAGCAGGAAGACGTAGAAGATCTGAGGCAGAGCGTTCCGGATGCTCCTGAACGCTCTGCGGAGCTGCACACAAACACCACACCAACAAACAAACAAACAAACCAACAAACAAACAAACAAACGACAGAGTTTAGGAATCATCATCGTCCTCCCAGAGGGACACACAAACGCTCCGTCCTCCTTCCACACAGACACAAACTAATGATGCGTTCAGGCGCCGTCGGCTCATTTAGCAGCAGGAAGTTTAGCCTCAGACGCTGCTCAGAGTTTAAACAGCAGAGTTTAATCGTGATCCAGAGATTACAACATGGACGACGTGCGAGTCAGTCAGTAATAAGACACCCGGACATGTGATGAGACACCTGAACACGCACCTGAACACACACCTGAACACTCACCTGAACACGCACCTGAACACACACCTGAACACTCACCTGAACACGCACCTGAACACACACCTGAACACTCACCTGAACACGCACCTGAACACACACCTGAACACTCACCTGAACACGCACCTGAACACACACCTGAACACTCACCTGAACACGCACCTGAACACACACCTGAACACTCACCTGAACACGCACCTGAACACACACCTGAACACTCACCTGAACACGCACCTGAACACACACCTGAACACTCACCTGAACACACACCTGAACACACACCTGAACACACCCCTGAACACACACCTGAACACACATCTGAACACACATCTGAACACACACCTGAACACACACCTGAACACACACCTGAACACTCACCTGAACACACACCTGAACACACACCTGAACACACACCTGAACACTCACCTGAACACACATCTGAACACACACCTGAACACACATCTGAACACACATCTGAACACACACCTGAACACACACCTGAACACACACCTGAACACTCACCTGAACACACACCTGAACACTCACCTGAACACTTTATGAGAAAAATACTGACGTGCAAATTAAACTGGATTTGGAGGCAAAGAGTAAAAATAGGGATTTTTTTTCTCTTTAAATATGATTTTTAGCAACATAAAGTGATATTAAATCAGAGTTTGTTTAATTATATATATTTATAATATATAATTATTAATGATTGTTGTACGTCAGAGCATCCTCACACTCACTATTTATTTGCAGTGGATCAGGAAAACAAACAAAAGTCTCCGAGTCACAAACACAAAATATAACTGTGACATTTTTAGAATAAAGTGTCAAAAGTTTAACATCTGTTTAATTAGTAAATAATGCAGATTTATGTCTCTTTTTTTCCACCATTTGACAAACAGGCCGGATCATCTGAGCATTAGTAAAAGATGTAATGACAAAAACAAAACTATGAAAATAATTTATCAATAAAACGTCTCTTTTCAGCCCAGTATTTATAGATATCTCCACTCGACACCTGCGAGTCTGGGCGTCCAAACAGGTGAGACACGTGGTGCTGTTACCTGCCGTCCCTCCGTGACGTTGACCAATAGGAGCGGGCGCAGGACTCTGGACCAGCGGAGGGCGTAGTAGTTTGTGGCTTTGAGCGCTCCGTAGATGATCATGTCGGCCAGAGTGAGCTGGAACAAACAGAGGAACAAAAGGAGTCATCCACTGCACACACACTTTATTTTCACGTTCAACAAAGAAGATTTCATTCAACTGCTTTTAAAATCGTCTTCTTCGTCTCTAATCCTTCCTCTGAACGCTGAGTTTATTTTTTATCTGGAGCATCAGAAACTTTTCTTTGGCGCTTCCCGTGTTTTTCTGCCATCCTCCTTGTTTCTGTGGCCGCCTCCGCCTCCTGGCCGACACACAACACATCGCATTGTGTAACTTGTGGCGGGATGATGATGTAATGAATGTTTGAATGTTCTGTTTAGTTTGTAAATTTAAAATGAACAATAAACAAAGTATTGTTCCCATGACAACCGAGTACTCGCAGGTACTTCGCCTGATAACAGCACCTCAGCCGAAGAACAGAGTCCTGCCCGTGAAGTTTTTATTTTGATTTTACATCAAATAAAAACAACTATTCCCCCAAGTAATCAGAACTGTTACAACACAGCAGCTGATAAACAATAATCCTGGCGACAGATGAAATATGATTTCATGTGTTTTCATGTATTTGATGAAGTGGCCACGAGCCTCCGAGTCACTGAGTCACCAGGAAGACTTTCTGCTGTAAAGGCGCTGACGAGGCAACATCTCCGGCTAAAGGTTGTTTCACAACAACAGGCAGAAAGTCTCCTCAGCACATTCTGACTCTGCAGATCTCAGACAGGAACTCTGCTCAGCACACAGCAACGACTTCAGCTTTCACACCAAAAAACCAGGAACATGTGCAACTCACCAACCGTCACCAGGATGTAACCTCATCCCCAAGTCTATACACTCTAATGCAAACAGTTTGTAGTGATCCTCTCCTCTGTAGGTCTCCACAGGGCCAATCCAATCTAATCATATCATCTACTCTATACAGGGTACCTGTGGTGTGAATACTTTAGAAAAAACTTCAGAAAAAATTAAGTCAGTCAATTAGCTCATTAATTGTTTTATCTTTGCATGCCACATATCTGGTATCAGTTTGATCCCGTTAGCTTAAAGTGTTACAGCAGTTTCTGGAAAATCAGTTTTCTCTAATTATTATGCAAATGTAAACAGAAAGTTCTCTAAAATGAAACCAGATAATATATTCCATATGAAGTACCTGTCCTGTAAGTATGAAGTTTCTATGATGTATTGCACTACAGAGTCAAAGTGTCAAAGAGTCAAAAAGTTAAAGAGTCACAGAGTTAAAGAGTCAAAGAGTTAAAGAGTCAGAGAGTCAAAGAGTCACAGAGTTAAAGAGTCACAGACTTAAAGAGTTAAAGTGTTAATGAGTCAGAGAGTCAAAGAGTTAAAGAGTCAAAGAGTCAGAGAGTCAGAGAGTCAGAGAGTCAAAGAGTCTAGTTTTAGTTTGGGCTCAGTGCAGCGAGTTGCCACTAGGTCGAATCGTCAGTATGAACACATTTACTTTGTTCAGTTTCCCCTTTACAAATCAGTAGCCCCTCCCATCAGACTGATGATGCAGATAAGCCCCTCCTACCATGAGGATGACGATGATGCAGATGTTTTTGGGGTCTTTCCAGAACTTGTCTCGAGGGATCACCTTGGCGTAGTGAACCAGTCGAATGGTGAAGACCAGGAGACACAGCAGCTCCACCAGCATGGTGGCCTGAAACACAACACCGGTCTGAGACATCAGGAGCTTCTCACACAGACACGTCCACAAACTGTAAAACCGCTTTTATAATCCATTCAGCCATTTTACAGGAGCTCTTCACTGCTGCTACCTGGTTTGACTTGGAAACAAACTGCTACAGGTGAAACAAAAAACTCCTATAAACATCAGCAGATTTTATTTATTGTTTTCCTCCAATGAATTGCACAAAAATAAGAAATTACGTCGTGTGAAACCAGGCGGCCATTTTACCCATATTGGCAGAGGGAAGACGGCCGGCTCCTCGAAGACGGCCAGAGACAGATCGACCAGGATGAAGAAGTAGAGGAGGACCTTCAGGAACCAGTGGTTGTAAAGCAGATACAGTCTGGACGGACGGACGGACACACACACACACACACTCGAGTTTTAGTCACTTTGCATTTTTAACACTAGCTGCTGTTATTCTGTATTTTTATTAACGTCATCAAATCTCATGTGCAGAGCTGAAACAACAGCGCATTGGTCCGTCTCTCAAAACTCTTCCCTCCTCTGTCTGTGGCTCTCAGCTCATCGGTTCCTACTGAGGATGAAAATCTTTAAAAGAATCAGCTGCTCGTTGTAGTTTTTAAATCAAGCAAACAGGAGGAAACATATCAAGCATTTATTGGGGACTATTTTCAGCAGCGGATTAATCCACATCTGGTGCTGCAGTGAGTATTTGGGTCAGTTTAGATGATGCTTTTCTGTTTAACAGTCTGTTTACTTGCCTTTGCAGACTCGTCAGTAGGATATTGCTGATTTGACTCTGCACATGTGATTAGTTCACAAAAAGAAAAATATACAATATCCCAGATTTATCTTTTCAGAAAAATCAAAAGTCATGAAGTCGAGCCGTTACTGCATCAGTCTAAGATGTTGTGTCGTAATGAAACATGTTGATCTACAGTCGCTTTACAGATGAAAAGATGTTCAAATCATAATGAGAAAATAAACATATATAAAAATAGAATATAATAATAAACATTTATATTATATAAATATAATAAACAAAATGTGTGAACATGTGAACGCCTCACCTCACGGCCTGCGGTGACGTGTCAAAGAATATGTTTCTGTTGTACTGAGCATCGGACACGTAGATTGCAGCCAGGTCAAAATCCTGAAACAGACAAGACTCTCATTTACAGGATGAAGCTGTTGCTGGGTGCAAATACTAAATGCAATATGCAAATGCTTAATGCAATATGCAAATTCAAAATGTAAAATGCATTGTAAAGTATCTGAGTACTTCTCCGACAACTGACCAATTCCATTATACCTATTCTTATCCCCTCAATGTCAGAAACATCCAGGTGGGAAACTACGTTGTCCGCATGCTTGCTTTCTTCTGGCACAGTATACTCACGCTTCCACGGCCCAAATCTGGCCCATATACGACATGATTGTAAGATGCCATACTTCCGCATCTGGACCAATTCTGGCACACACACACACAGAAAATCTTACAGCTGTCACACAACTCCAGAGTATAACAGCCAGAATTTGCCCAGATGTAGACGGTATATATGGGCCAGACTCGGGCAGATGTTGGGCCATGGTCTGTGGGAACTGTGATGAGCATTTTTCTACAATTTCTCAACTTTTCATTTACTGGAAAAACCTACAGATTGATGCACAATGAAAACAATTATGAGTTGCAGCCATATTGGATTGCATGACACTGTGAAGGTGTACTTACTAAAGTGGATTAAACAGATTTTAACTTGTGTGAAAACTCAAATGAATGATAAAAGTGGAAATTTCTGTCTCATCAATTGTAGCAAAATGAAACATCTGGCTCAACATCTGCTCGGGTCCTTGGCCCGAGTCTGACCCATATATATTTCCACATCTGGGCAGATTCTGGCTGTTATACTCTGGTGTTGTCTGACAGCTGCAAGATTTTCTGTGTGTGCACCAGAATTTGACCAGATGTGGAGGTAGAGCATCTGACAGTCATACCCTGTATGGGCCAGATTCGGGCCGTGGAACCGGGAGTATACTGTGCCAGAAGAAAACAAGCATCTGTGTCTGCGTGGAACTATTTTTCAACAATTTCTCAACTTTTCATTAACTTGAAGAACCCAAAGGTTGATGCACAATGAACACAATCATGAGCTGCAGTCGTACTGGATTGCATGACACTGTGAAGGTGTACTTAATAAAGTGGCCACTGAGTGGAGTAAATATATTTTAACTCCATCAAAGCTCTTGACCAGATGTCCCCATTTTCAGGGGACAGTCTAAGCAGAGAAAAGGTTAAAGGGCTCACTCAGCAAACTAACAAAAACAAACGTACCCAAAGCCTCCCAGATGAAACTTGAAAAAATTGTTTTCATGTTAGAAAAAGTGAAGAAGAAGAAGTTGCCCGACTGTCTGCAATGGACTTCAAAACAACAATATTCACAACCTTTTATGAAAAATGCTTTTGATTTGATTCTTTTGATCTGTGGAACCTTACGAACTAAAGGAAAATAAATAATTGAGGAATAGATAGACAGTAGGGCTTCTCAACTGCTTTAAAAGGTAGGGAGTTGTCATTTTATCAGTCTGCCTTCACCATGATTTATTATAGTAAAACAGTTACCATGGTCAAAATACATGAAAACCGGGACTGTCCCCCTTTTTTATTTCATGATGATGATATATTAATGAGATATTAATCACCAAACCGTAAATGTCCCTGGTTTTCTGTCCAGAAATATGGCTGCCTTATTTTTAAAGAGTGGAAATTTGTGTTTTAATCATCCACTTGTGTTAAAATGAATCATTTAGTCTGTTAAAAAAGTTATAAAATGAAGTCAGACTCCATCTTTAGCTCCAAACTGTCACATTTGAGAAGCTGCAGCCTGATGATGTTTGGAGTCTTTTTTTTTTCTTTTTCTTTTTTTTTTTTTTTACAGGAGACCTGACTGAACTGGTTTATCAGTGTGAAGCTGGAAGTTGCTGCTCAGTAACTCTCGGTTTAACTGCTTTATGGGGACAAGGGTCCATCAGTTTACTGCCGTCATGTGAAGTAAACAGACACGTTTAGATTCCAGGAACAAGCTGCAGAGACGTGTCACAGAAACACATGAAAACAGAGACGTGTGTCAGAGCAGAAGCATCAGCTGTGTGTGCAGCCGCTCTCTCTCACCTCTTTGGTTTTTGCAGGATTCCCTCCGTTAGGAATTTCCTTTCCTTTTCCTGCAGACTCATCAGGAATGTTTTCGCTCTTCTCCGGCTCCGACATCTCTCAACAAAACAAAAAAAAAAAACTCCAACGCAGCTCTTCCCAAAACTTCTCCAAAGAGTTACCAAAACTTTTTCAACGCCACTTGAAGAGTTTCCAAACTTTGTGTCGGAGGAAGCTGAGAGGAAACAGTTTGTGTCTCTGCAGGAAAAACAGAAAGTCCAGACTTGTTTTTATTCAGTTTCTGCTGTAAACGTCAGCACGGAGCGTAATTCCCGGAGGATCCACATCAGATGTTTTCCTCTCCACGGCGCGTTAACGGGGCCAGTTTCAGCTCCATCGCTGCTTCAGTCTGACTCTGAACTAGTCCGGACCGCTGTTTGTCCTTCTCTAATAAACCAGGACTCATGTTGCCTTCAGGGACCAGCGGAAATATAGAGGGGGAAAAAAAGACACACTGACGTGGTAACAGGCTTGTGACCCTAAAAAAATAAAAGTCCTGCATAGGTGAATTTAAGTAATATTTCATCAGAAGAAGCAAAGGAAATAGAAAATCCAGCAGATTTTTTTTCTTCTTTTTAATCGTCTAGTAATTTCTAAGATTTACTTCGGGGTTGAAACAGTGAGATACAAAATTGTTATTATTTAATTTGCTGATAATTTTCTCAATTAACTGATTAATTGATGAATCTATTAATTGATTTTTAAATGAAATAAAATCACATTCACAGTTTTGTATGCCCAATGATCCAAAACATAAAAATATTCAATTCACTGTCACATACAACAAAGACAAACAGAAAGTCGACATATTTGAGAAGAACCATTACAGACTATTTGTTGCAGCTCTCTCTATATAAACTATTTTTCTTTTTTACTGTTCTTCATTAGGCTACTTTATCTTTTCTACTTATTTAATTACTCACATTTTGTTTAGTTTTATTTTGGTCATTTCTTTAACTTTTTTTTAAATGTCAGTTCTATTTATTTCTCCTTTTTGCTTTTTTGCTTCCCTGTCTGACTGAATGACTATATGAGGGTCGTTTGTTGTCAGTCAGTTCGCTTTCGATTTTCGCACTTCAATCGGAGACAGTGAAGGCAGCACGAAGATGTCATGTGACTCAGCAGCAGGACAGCGGAAACGGAGAAAGAGGCATTCAAAGACAAAAGACACTGAGTGTAAATCAGAGACTGTAAATTAATGTGTTATTTTCAGTTTGACGAAGTTATTCACGTTCATCAGAAGGAAAAATTCCACCTTAGACCAGGGTTTATCATATGACTTACTTATTTATACTTATATGACAGTTAAGTCATATAACTTGAATAAACTTTATTCTCTGCCCTTCATACAGGAGGGCGGAGGTTTGGCTTCAGAAATAGAAAACAAAATAGAATTAAAAATCAGTACAGAAATACAGAAGGAAAAGCCCACCTGTTCTCCTCTCCCAGGTTTTTCCAGCATCTTGAAGAACCTGCCTCAGTTCTTCGGTCTCCTCATGTGATCCAGACTGACTCCATGATGCTGAGATCAGATCATCTGGTGCAGGACTCCTTCTTCTTCCCCTGGTCTCTAAAGGCCTGTTCTTCATGACTCTGTAAGTTTATTATCATTAATACAGTTCAGCCTCCAATATGATCGTGCAGTTCAATCCAAACAGTTTCAACACAAACTGAACATTATAAACGTCATGAAGAAGGATTTCAGATTCATTGCAGGGCTGTTGCATAAACTGCATTAGTATTATCTATTCCTATTAAATTGGTGTTAGTTGATTTTGTCCGACTCATTAAACGATAAAGAGTTTTATCTTGTTTCTCTGCAGTCACTCAGAAAATCTGCACAACCCTTTCAGCTTGAATTAAAAACCCTGAGGTTTTTCCCACCACAGGTTTTTAATTTAAACACAAAAGCTTAAAACTGAGTTTCTTTGCATCAGTAAACAGACAAAGCGTCTGACCTGTAGACATTTCTTTTTGTTGAACACGAATCAGGTTTGTTCACCAGGGATTTTGTTTTTACCTCCTGGTTGGTCGACAAGAAGACATCATCACAGGAATACAAAGTCTGACGACACGTGATTTCAAACCCATTGATTTATTGTGTTTTAAATGTAGTAAACAGTGAAAGAGTCACAGTGTAAACAGACACATCAAAATTCAAATCCAGCCCAAAACAGAAAATATTTCATTTGCATCATCCTTCCCAGATGAATTTTTTTACGCCTTATTTGAGTTGAAATCAATACAATGCTTTTATTTTGAAATTTCTGATTTAAACAACATATTTTCGCATTCAAAAGAGCACCGATCTTTGGTCAGTTGAGTTCAGATTCAGAGCTCGTTTTAGACAATAAATCTGCAAAAATGTCAAAATAAAGAGTCAAATTAAAAGAAATAAAATCCATCTTAAGGTAAATGTTATTAACATGGTTGTTCTGCAGTGAATGACAAAATGAAACATCACGCAACTTTAATCAAATACATGTTTGTATTGCACTGAACTAAGGAGTGACACACCAACACTTTATGATTTAAATGTGAAATAAAATAATATACTGTGTGTCAGAAACCAAACCAAACCAAACCAAAACAAAACAAAACCAAACTTCAACCAAACCCTAAATTAAAAGTTATATTTATATTAAGTTTATATTTTAATTAGTGAAGCTGTTCGTACTGTAAAGCTACAGCTCATTTATCTTCCTCTAAATAAAATAGACACTGATTTCTTTTGTATTTTCAACTTTTCTTTTTTTGATCCAACACTCATATTTTGTTCTTTTATATTTCTGCATTCACTTTATAGAATAAAATAACTTATTTCATTATTTTATATTTATATATATATATACTGTATATTTTTAGTAAAGTGCAATTGAATGTTGAATTGATTAGTAGTTAAATTGTTATTTGATCATCAGCCCTTTAACAAAGAGAATGTTCCATCAATGATAATCAATCTGAAGTCAGTCTCCTTATGTTTTCATATATTTCATAGAAGCTACTCTGTTATTATTATATATTTTAATATCTTATTATTATATTAGTAAATTAATCTCATGCCACGTTATCTGATATATTAAATCTTCACTCAAAACAATCGCACAAACATTCATGATTTGGAGATTTTACGGTGCAAAAATAAAACTGACTTTCCACATTAATAACAGCATTATTCATTTATTTATTTATTCTAACTTTGCATATCTCCATACCAAACAGACCAGACCTGTCGATCACCTGGTGATATGTAGTGTGAAAATGATTGATGAGTGAACAGCTGATGTTTCCTTTTAGGAATAGTTTCCTCTGTCATGCCGAGAGTCAGACGTTCAGATCTGTAACAATAAATATTAAATATGAAGCCTGACGCCCAAAATGTCAAACTACTTCTTTAAAATATGGGTAAATAAAAAAAAACGTGTTTCATTATGTCATTTTCATGTGTATATTTATACAATACACAACAGGAAGTAGAACATTCCTCAGACACATCATATTAACAGTCTAATAAATATAATATAATCATATAACATAATCTGTTATTCTGTTATTTAAACTCATTACGTTCATTTTCATTCTGGATTCAAAATATTCTGTTTAAAGATGTTTTTCTTTAAATTGTGCCGTTATCTTTTGTGCATTTAAAACAATCAACAATACCTATAATTTATCACGGTTGTTATTTTATTTTAAGAATTAAACTCTTAATTTGGCGGTTTCTTACTCCAGTGTATTTTAAGTGTCATTAGTGGCAGTCTGGAGAACTCTCGTAGGCCTGATGGTTTTACTTTGGCAGGTACTTCCTGTAATTTTAACAGTTATTCATCTAAGTTAATTACTACACACGAATATGTACAAATTTAATGCACTCAAATATTGCAACAGATCAACTTCATCCAGAGCTGAGTCATGGTCAATATTATAATGTCAGAAACATTAAAGGCACATTCAGAGTGGTCAGTGAGACGCTCGGTTGGTGTTAAATAAACAGTCTGACATTTTAGTATATCTTCTTCTTCTCTGTCTTATTCACAGTCAGATGTTTCAGACACCAGACAGAGAAAGATCCAGGAAGTGTTTAGCCTAGCTTAGCACAAAGACTGGAAATGGGGGGAAACTGTTAGCTGAGCTCCATCAATATAGCTTATAGTGGGGTTTTCAGGTTTGAACTGTAACTACAGAATGGACTGCTGACCAGACTCCTAGTTAACAAGATGAAGAAGAGTAAACTAGGTGGGTCTGACTGTTTTTTTTCTCTTGTAACATTAAAAGTGAAACTGATTGTTTGAAAATACAAAAAGTGTGAAGCTCAGCAGCTGAACAGGTTTATGTTAAATCAAAACAGAGCCGAAATGAAACCAGAACTTCCAGGTTTTGATCCAGAAGTAAGAAAACTTCATTAATAGCTGCACTAATGACTAAAATTCCAGCATTGGGTCGTAGTCTTTTTCAGAGGATGTCATTTTATGTTTTTTAGAGGCCTTTAATGAACCCCATTTCCCATAAGCCCTAGATGTTTGTGAGCTAACGCCACGTTCACGTCATGTCAGAGTTACCATAATTATCAGTTTCCTTCTTGTAAACAGGATTCATGTCAACACCCAAGTCAGGAAATTGAATCCTTTATGTCCGACTTAAAAAGTACAGAGGCGGAGCCTAAGTCTGTTGTTTAAGTGGCTATATGTGATGTTTCTGTTGTGGTTTCCTGATGATGGTCACTTGCTAAGCTAAGCTAAGCTTCAGCCATCTTTGAATTTACACAACAAGAAGTGAGAATACGCTACTTCGTCTTCTCATGATGAATTGAAGGCAAATTGGATGCTACAGTGACTCACTACAGACTGAGGCTAGCTGTTAGCATGCTAACTTCAGTAGCAAAACAAGAGTTAACATTGACGTTGCTTTCCACCGCTGGAGACAGCTCTTGGCAAATAAAGAAATTAAGGTTAATGCTGAACTCGCTACGTTTCTTCTAGACCGGTAAGTAAACAGCTGCTAATGCTATCACTAGCTATGTAGCATTAGTGAGAACCTACAGCTATATAGCACCTTTAAAGGCAATTAAATACTGAGATTTAATAGATATAGTGCTATATTGAACAAGTGTGGTATTTTTTTTTTTACACTTTGTTCAAATTACACTCCTGCCTAGTAACCATCAATAGTGTTTTGTAGCACACAGGTGTTTTGCTAGCTAGTACAGCTAATGTGATCATTTGTGTCTTTCTATATTGTTTAGTAAGAGTTTATTGATTAAGGCAGTTGGGCTCTCCAGTCTTTCCCATCATTCCCTTCCCTCCCGCATAAATAATTAAGGTGATGCTGATGTGACATGAACGCAGCTTTAGTGAGCGGTCGATTTAGATAAAATCTCAGACTGTTCGTTAAAAGGTTAACAGGGAACGCCTCATGTGTCATTATGGAGGTTTGGTCGAGTCGTTGCTCTGTAGATCACATAAACATTGAGGTACTGTTAGTGTGGTTCTGCCGCAGTAGTTGGTTCTCATGCAGCAGAACTGTAACAGTGTAATATTGCTCTACTGTACTCTACTGTAGGATGGCACACTGTACCACAGAGATGGTGTTAACCATATGATATGACTGCTTATTTCAACATTTTGTACAAAAATACAAACGCATGACAAAATCAGAAATCCACAGTCTCAGCGAATCCTGGTCTGGGTTCACCACTCCTGTTTGATCCACACAGACTTGACTACAGACCACCAAGACTGCAGGGCTGTAAAGACTTTGACCCCATCTTACTCAAGTTAGTCCCATAAAGGATTTGTTCACCATTGTTCAACCACAAACCTCTAGATAAATAAGCCAAGATAAACAGTCGCTTCAACCTGACACAAGTCCGGCTTTACAACCCAAGAAAGAAGCGGACTCGTCCTGGTGTTTGATGGCCTGATCGACTGTCACACTGGAATGATAAAACCCAACGAGGAAACCTAAAGATCACTTGGGAGGAACAGATTCAATGAAATGCTCCTTAAATCCAACCCCAGGTTTGGGTTAACAGTGAACAAATCCTTCAATAATCTTACCACTTTCGTCATATTCATGTAGCATGTTATTGAGTGAAAAATCTGCAGTTTTTGAAAGTGGATGATGAAGTATTCTGACAGCATGTGATGGATTTCAGAATAGATTCATGAACCCAGGCAATAGAGTGATACAGAACCATGTAACACTTCAGATGAATAGAAAACGTGACAGTCGCCAAAACTGATTTAAGAAGTTCTCCAGCATGATGATGATGTCTAGGTCCCAAACTGAAAACACAACTTAGTGAGAGTAGTTTGTGTCCGAAACGAGGCTAAACTTGGTTGAAAAGGGACAGTTTCAATTTCCCTCTCTGTTTTCAGAAGTTGTAACCTTCAAATTTAGAAAACAGAATATTTCAACCAAACCAAGCCGAGTTTTCATCTTCATGCCTTTTCACCTGCAAATCGACAAACCAGTACTCACTGAGTGATGTCTTCAAATGTCTGAAGAGTCCTGAAAAGAAATAGTAGAACCAAGCTAGAAGGAATTTCATTAAATCCCCTGTGATCCACCTTCTCCTGGTTCTGTCAGAGGAGTTTGGGCCTGAATGGGTTGACCCTGACCGAGGAATAGGCCCCAATGTGGGTGATGAGGTTGGGTTCAACGCTGTGAGACCTTTCCCCAGGGATCATCCTCACCATGTGATATAGAACCATGTCTTTGGCGTTCCCCTTGACACAGAACGAGCCGTCCAGGTACTCGGCCACCCTAAGCGAGGCGTTGCCGGGGTAGAGCATGGCTGGGGTGCAGCACTCGGTGGCCGGGGAGACGGCGTAGAACTGCGGGGAAAGTCTCCGCACCTCCAGAAGGTAGTGCCGCCCCAGCAGCTCCGCAGCTGCCATGAAGTAAAGGGTGAAGAAGAGGAGGTGGCCGGCCGACAGCGTGAAGGAGAAAGAGCAGGGGTTCCAGTAGGGAAAGGTGAGAAGGAGGGCCGTCGCTCCGACCAGCCCGAGCCCCACCCACTCCAGGATGCGGTAAGGCTCTGGGTTCCAGTAGCGCTGCAACCTTTCGGGGTGATACAACTTGATGTAGAGAGTCTGGAAGGCAAAGCGACGTGACAGAAGGTCTTTAACAACCGTGAAAAAATCTTGTCTGGGCAAAGCGTCATCCTCTAAGACGACCACGTTCTTAGGCTTCACCAGCTCCCATCCTTTGCGGAGACAGAAGACGTAATCCCTCTTCTCCCTCTCGAAGGTGTTGATTCGTTCCCGGTTCGCCTGCTGCTCCTCTGGGGAACGCCGGACCACCCTGAAGTGGGCCTCCAGCAGCTTGGCGTCCTGGTTTTCCTGGGGGCCGCTTTCCACATCGCAGACCAGCACCTCGGCACACCGCCGCTCCCCACAGCCTCCCACAATGCTGCTCAGCTGCCGCATCACCTGGAGCAAGTAGTGGAAGTCCCGCCCCTCATTCCGCCTGGCTGTCACCACAGTAACCAGCAGCTCAGGATGCCGGGCAATGTCGCTCAATCTGGAAGACGACGACACTGCGGTGGAAGCACTCTGCCAGAAATGCAGGGCGTCCTGACCTCGGTTGAGACTCTCCTGCAGGACATCCTCACTCATGGAGTCCAGGTACATGGTCCTGATGAAGAAGTAAGAGTAAAGCAGCTGATGGCAGCACAGAGGAAGAACGATGCAGAACGTGATGACGCACAGGACGAGGGCTTGAGTGACGGTGCTCGACCATCGCAAGTACTGACTGAAGAACGCTTTCCATCGAGGCATTGATGAAACATCCGTCTGTGGTCACGCAGCGACAAAGTCAGACAGAGGAGTTCCGCTCAGGAGGGTTTAGGTCAACATTTACGGTGTCCCAGCATGCAGTTTGCTTCAGAAAACCCACAGGACTGACCACAGCGGTGAAACCCAATGAACTGGCCGTGAACTGATAGCTCTCTGGAAAATGAGACGGGTGTTGGAACAACTTCTTGTGAAGAGAGGAGAGAGTTTCAGCTCGGTCCTAGTCGTCTGCGTCAGTAGGGAGAGACGAGATGAAGGTTTAATCCTCAGTTATTGTTCTCAACTGTTTTCAACCTGTATGAAACATAAAAAACCAAAGGGAAAGGCTATAAATCACATCCTTGTTTATCATCTTTGCAAAGCATATCCAATGGAAAACCAAGCTTCTACCTTTCACAACAGTTCTGCAAATTTTTATTACAGAGTTTAAAATGATGAGAAGGTTTTAATCTTGGTTTAGTTCCTCTTACCTAGGTGTAAAAAACTTTATTTGTATATTCAATGGCAGAATGCTACAACTGATGAACATATTACATATTAATTTCCTGAAGTATAAGTCTTCACTTCTTAGTTATTCTTCTCTTCAATGTCCTTTTATGTTTCATTAACTGTATGCACAGGCTTCACAGTGTGTAAGAGTGTATTATTCAATCACAAGACACAATCTTTTTATGGCTGCACAGCTGAATCAAACTGATGTCTGTGCATCATTTTAGGCACATTTTCCCCAACCTGACAGGTTTGAGATATTTAGAAATTGTGGGATTTCCACGAGAATTTAAAATAAAGTTGTGTGAGTTGAAAAAAGTTTGAACTTAACTGCATGAGTGTGTAAAGATGGAGAAACAAAAACAATACCCGCATGTCCCTATTTCCATTAAAAAAAGTTACTGCTTCCTAAAGTGATTTCAGTGTAAGTGATGGGGAATAAAATCCACCCTCCTCATTCTGCATAAATATTACTTCATTAATATGGCGCTTTAACTGTTGTTGTTGCTGTTGTGGAGGAAATGTCATGCTGAAAGAACTGTAATGATGATGATGATTGATCAGATTAGATGATAATGATTTGTCTAACTGACTGACTGCAAGAGTTTCAGACTATCATCAGTTTTCAGATTATCATGAACGCCTCAGTTAATTTCTACACAGAACAACATCCTTCACAGACGGGACAGGAGGAGTGATTACACACACCCGTGGACGAAACATGAGACAACGGGCGCAGACATGACTAAGAGCCCCACCCTTCCTACACAGGGCTAACATTCCCAGACTGAGCGAGACACAAATCCCTACAAACACATTTCTTTCACAAAGCGTTTGAATAATCTCTTTTTTAAAGTATTTCACAAACTTAAATTCCTTATTTGTGTTTCTATTTTTATTGTGTTTTTGTTGTTTTATGATTCATTTGTCTGCGTGTGTTTTGTTTTTTCATCCCGGTGAAGCACTTTGTAAACTCTGATTTTGATAAGTGCTAAATAAATAAACTTTATTATTATCATTTTTACATTATAAATGATACGGGCTGCATTATTTCATGACACATTTTTTTTTATTGTCGGTTTGTGTCTCTTTGTAGTTGTTTTGTTTCTCTGCTGTTGTTTTTCATCTCTGTATTTGTTTCTCTTTATTGTCAATTTGTGTGTATTTTTGGTCATTTTGTTTCAATTTGTAGTCAATTTGTTTCTCTTTATTGTCATTTTGTGTCTCTTTATTGTCATTCTGTTTCTTCTTTGTAGCTGTTGTTATTCTGCATTATATCTTCATGTTTACATATGGGGAGGAGCATCTCACAGCTACTGATTTCATCCATGTGGCCTAAACTACAAGAGGCTACCTTCAAGAAAACAACATGATGTCCAGCAAGAATGAAGAGTTAGTCTCACATACTGAACAAGCCATTAATGTGAAACTATGTACAGCCTTTTATATATCTATGGTTATTGTATACAGCCAGTTTAAGCCACATACAGCCACTGTAAAGTAGTAAACAGTTTCTGCTAACTGTAGGTTCTTGCTCAACAGTGAAAGTGAAAACAGCCGACACAGAAACACGGTGCAACACCGTCCGTACTGTCTCTGACTCCGGGTTAATCACATTAAACACATTAATCATATTTAACACATTAAACACGAACACCTGGACGGTGTTAATTGTTCGCTTTTACTGTGACAGTGTCTATTATGTCGCTTCCGGTACAGCGTGTCCACACAATCAAAGATCAATGCTTAAACTAACCCGCTGGTTATCGGTTAGTTAGCGCGGAGCTAACTGACGGAGCTAACTGACGTCCCTGGTGAAACATCATGGCGGACAGGTCGGTGTTTCACAGAGATAAAAAAAGCGGAGGTTTTCAGACTCACGTACAGTTGTGGAGCTGCTGCGGTTCTCTGGTCTCTGCCATGTCCAAACATCACAGCTGCTCCCTCTCAGGTACCGTAACACCCGCGGCTCCGATACCGTAACACTGCGACTACAGGCGCAGGGAAGTTAAGTTCCGCTCCTGACCGGCAGGTGGCACTACAGGGCCTGAGAGGGCAACTGCATGGGATAGATATGGTTACATTATACGACTACTACTGTTACTACAACTATTATATACTATATACTATACTATATAATTGTGATGTTGAGATATGTTACCTTTAAAGGGATATATTATACATTTTCTGGATATATGAAAATACAGCCACATTAATAACATATATGAAATACCCATAGGAGAATTTAAATTTAAAAATGTGTGAATTTTGATGTAGTATAACATGTTGCTACCATATATATTAACAATATATATTTGAGTTATATTTGCAAGTTTAATAAAACAACATACATAAAGAAATTATATATATATATATAATTATATAATTTCTATATGTATGTCATTTTAATCAATTTGCAAATATAACTCAAATATATATTGTTAAAATATACATGCTTTTCTTATTAATTTTATCATTAATTTTTCATCTTCTAGGAAAGTTGGCGCAGACTTTTGGACCCCAGTGTATATAACATCAGCATATACTGACAGGCTTGTGGATGGCTATATATTTATGAAACTTACATATACAATGTCAGCTGTGTACATAAACATACATATTTGTATGGGCTAGACATATATGTCAATATACAAAATTGTATGTGTGTGTGTGTATATACTGTATATATATATATATATATATATAAAATGTGTAAAGTGTGTCTTTTTTCATCTCTTCATCTCAGTAACAGAATGTTACTCTGACTGTGTTACAGACAGATGTGAGTTTATCTCTGACGTCTCATCTCTGATCTGAACAGGTGTCTCACGTCAGAGTGACGTTCACCACCGACACAAGCACAAAAGCATCCTTCAGATCATTTATCAGGAATGTCAGATGCACCAGAGTCAAACTGTGAACACGTTGAAGCAACTATTTTGATAATTGATTAATTATTTAAGTTTTCAAGCACATAATTCTGTAGTTTCAGCTTCTTAACGTGAGGATTTACTGCTCCTCTTTCTCTTATTTGTTAAAAATGATGAACCAAACTGAAAGATGTCTCCTTGGACTATTTGTGAAAATAGTTAGTGTGTATTTTTCACTATCATCTGACCAAAAAACCAAACAGTTATTTGTCTAAATGATAAAATGCAAAGGTAATATGAATCCTATAATACATTATATATGCACATATAATACATCACCATCAAAAGAGTGAGTACGTTACTTTTGACACTTGAATAACTTTGACAATACTTGTACTTGAGTGAGTATTTTCCACAGTGTGGTACCTGAGTAAAGGACCTGAGGTCAGTGAGCCTTCACCTGTGTTCTTGTCTATGTTTAGTAATAACCCCTGTAGATACAGTGAGCTCAGGTGACAGTGATCCATCAGTTTATAGCTCAGCAGGAACAACAGCGAGACACCGGCACACTGACAGTTTCCCTACCGAGCCGTGCCAGGCCGAGCCGAGCCGAGCCGAGCCGAGCCGGTCCAACCAGCAGACGGCGTTCCACGACTCCACACCTGCCAGACTCCTGATGGGTCACAGACTGTCTGGTAATCAAAACCTCCTGCCTTTAACTCACAGCTGCCAAAGTGCCCTCGAGCAAGACACTGAGGTTTACGGAGCCACCAAAACACAAATATATAGTTTCATTTTTCTAAGTCTCAGTAATTTTGTGAAACAGCTGCTCACTGTATTTTTTTTATCAAACAAACAGGAGGAAATATCGAATTTGTTGGGGACTATTTTCAGCGGCAGATTAATCCACATTTGGCGCTGTAGTGACTATTTGGGGCAGCAGGACGGTGAACTCTCTAGCGCCACCTTCAGGACACACAGGACAAAGATACAGGACAAGATAAATCATCCATCCAACCAATAGGACTTCAGACTGATGGTCTGTTTGTGTTCGGTATTTAAGTTACATCCATAAAGTGTCTGATAGAGTCTGATAATACAGTAAATTTCAGCGGAGCTCTAAGAGTAAACAGCTGAACTGAAAATGTTGAACCATGCGCTGTAATGAGCAGTTTGGGGTATTGATCCAGGACTGCAGCATTTATCATCTTATCATGAAGTATTCAGCGCCGAGCTCAGGCTCTGCTGATTGTCCTGAAGATTAGATAACACAGTGTCTCCCCGGCAGACAGCCCATTACCTAATAACACTATCAGTGGGACAATAGAGCAGAGGGGAAAGAAGGAATTTACCTGCAGCTCAGGTTGCATCACTTTGTAGAAACTGAATCCTGGAGCAGCAGTTTACAGGTGGGTGGGGGGTGGGTGGATAGTCCAGCACCAGGAGGGAAATCTTTTTCCTTGTTTATATTGAGTCTTTTAATGCATCTGGAAGCCGAGCCCATAAAACCACAGGCCAGTGGTGCAAGAGGAACGGTCAGGGAATCATCAAAGTCAGCAGGATTCATCCTCTGGGGAACAAGAATGTTTCAGAAAAAGTTTGTGCCAGTCCATCCAATAGATGTTAAGAAGTGGAAATTTTTACCTACAAATGGTGCAAGATGAAAAGTTACAGGATCATCACATTCATCAGGATTCATCCTCTGGGGAACAAGAATGGTTTAATGAAAGTTTGTGCCAGTCCATCCAGTAGATGTTCAGATATTTTTGCTGAATAAATGGAAATTTTGACCTGCTGGTGGTGAAAGACAAATAGTCAGGAAATTAGCAATTTCATCGGGATTCATCCTCTGGGGAACATGAATGTTTCAGTAAAAAAATTGTGCCAGTCCATCAAGTAGATGTTGAGATATTTTGCTAAATAAGTTGAACCTTTTACCTGCTAGTGGTGGAAGATGAAAAGTTACAGGATCATCATAGTCATCGAGATTCATCCTCTGGGGAACATGAATGTTTTAATAAAAGTTTGTGACAGTCCATCCAGTAGATGTTCAGATATTTTGCTAATTAAATGGTAGTTTTGACCTCCTCATGGTGGAGGACGAACTGTCAAGGGATCGCTAAAGTCATCAGGCTTCACCCTCTGGGGAACATGAATGTCTTTGGAAACTGTTTTGCCAAACGCAGGTTTTTACAACCACTACCACTAACCTTTGCTCCTCTTCTGTCTACAGACAACTTAATCGTCTAAAAAGTTTTGTATTGCGTTACATGAATAAATCAGAAGAGACTGTTTGTGTGTTAATCTCTAAAGAAAGTCGACATCTGAAAGGTTTTGTCTCAACTGTTGTTTTCCACAGGATTTAAAGTTTGGAGAAACAGTAGTTCTGGTTCTTGTATAGACAAGGTTTTGGACGAGGTTCTGGACAGTCCTCATCCTCTGACATGTCTACAGAGTGTTGTCTCCATCAGGAGTAGGTTTCCCAGGCAGCAGGATAGGATGACAGCGGCAGGAAACCAGATCCAGCTCGACGATTATCTGAGGTGTTTGTCGGACGGCTCTCCTCCTCAGCAGCCCCGTCCTGCCAAATGAGATGCCGGTTGTTTCCATGGTTCTGTTGTTTACAGTGTGAGGTGTGACAGGCTGCAGGGTCACAAACTGATCTGAGCTCAGATGGTCACACATAGAAAATATAGTCTGAAACCATCCGACCATCTGACAAGGGCTTCTTAAGAGTGACCAGCACTCGATGCTTTATTTGAAGTATCACTGTGACTCTTTAGCCTTGTTAGCCAGTTTGACCCAGAATCATTAAAGAAGAATGGTCAGTTTAGCTTAGCACAAAGACTGGAAGCAGGGGGAAACTGTTAGCTTAGCTCAATTAAAAGGAGAAATATCCACCTTTGTTATATCTTGCTGGCTAACCAGCTAGTTACCAGTCCATCCTGTAGTCAGCTGGGTTTAGCTGACATCCAAAGAACAACTCCACTATGAGCTCAAGACTTTAGAGATGCTAACAAATAGCTTCAGTAAATAAAAAACACATCTCCTTTTTTCTTGTTGTGTTTGCATTTAAACAATGAACGAGTAAATGAGACAGACAAGTTGCCTAAAGGCGGGTTTTCCCTCTTCTGAAGGAACCTGGCGAACACTTTCCCCTGCTTCCAGTGTTTGTGCTAAGCTAGGCTAATAGATTAACTGATATCAACTCTGATACAGTAATTAATGTGAAATCATAAAAAATAATAATAATAAAATAAATATATTATCATTATTCAGTATGATCATATTCAGATTAATCAAATCTACAAAAAAATGAAACAAATCTAAATGAAATCACCATCACTGAGACTTTATTACAGTTACTAATGAGTCTGTTGTTGTTGTTGTTGTTGTTGCTGTTGCTAATGGAAGCAGGGCTGCTGCAGGTTGTCATGGTGATGAATGAGTCACGCTGGACAAACACTGATAAGTGTGTGTGTCTCACCGACCCTTCATCACACTGACCGCCGACACATCCGGCGGAGCTCAGCCGGCTAACGGCTCTCACTCTCCGCAGCTCCGGTGCGCGCTGGCCGCCGGGCGTGTCTCCGCGCGGCTGATGGGGATTCCGGTTTTTCCTGTTGGATCCTTCTGGTTTAAACCGCAGCAGCTCTGAGTCCCGCGTCAGTCTGAGCAGCAGCAGCAGCAGCAGCAGCAGCAGCAGGACACACATGGCCTCCAACACCGCCACCATGGGGAACCTCCCCAGCGGGATCGGAATATGTACGACCATCCCCGACATCCTCTACCTGCCGGAACTGGTAAGAATCAGCAGCTGCAGAGGTTTTACACAGGAGAGGAACTTTTCTGTGAGGTGTGAGCGCGCTCAGCGGTGCGCACGGTGCGGGCACTTTGACGCAGCTTTTACGCACGGCTGAAAACATCCTGTCCAGCCTTGTTTTAATTAGTAATAATGATTGAGACAGTCTCACTGTTGTGTAGCATCCAACTAAAGACAAACATGTTCATGACAGACTTGTTAAGTGTTGTGGTCTGATTCTGGTTTCCTGGAAACCGGAACCAGACGCCGGACTGGGAACCAGTGGAATTACGTTGTGCCGCTGCTGAGGACTCACAGTCCAACCTCAGTGATGTTTAGACAGAAAACAAACCGCTCTCACGTGATGAAGCTGAACCTGCAGCAGTTCAGTGATCTGATCATCTTCTGTCATTTGTGTTAAAAGAATCTAAACTTCATCTTTCCTCCGTTTCTGAAGCTAAAAGGTCAAAATAATTGAGATATTTGAAATTTAAATTCTGTGCATTTATATTTATGGATCAATCTGAGCAAATGTTTGTTTTAAATGTTTCTGATGCTTTTTAAAGATTTGAAAACAATTGTGATCCACTGACAAACATAAAAAATGATAGTTTTTATGTTTGATACAGAAATGTATTTATATATCAGATATATATGAAGTTAAATATGTGAGGGAACAAAGTCAAACAGTGTAAACTTAACTTATCCAGAATAATTTGATCAAACTTTAACTCACAAAAACAGATGTTTTTATCTTTGTTTATAAAAATATGATCATCACCTTTATGATAAATTATCATTATTTTAGGACAAAAAGTCTTTTGATAGTTTGATAGTGGCGTAAATCCAGCACACCCGGTTGCTGGACCCCAGATGGATGATGTCCCAAAGCTCGCACATCGCTGGTCCAGTACTGGCCCGACATTGGCCTGATGTTGGCCCAGGTGCTGCTAGCAGAAACTGATTCTCAGCCCAAGTTTGCAAGATCCAGGTGTTGCAGCTAAATTTGGGCCAGAGCCGGCTCTCAGTCGTGATGCCGGAACACAGCCAACCGTGCCGACACTCAGCCGCAGTTAGCATGACCCGGCTGAATACCTGGAATTTACATGAAACGTACAAACCAGAAAACCAGAGTCAAAGTTCATGTGAATGTGTCAGGAGGAGAATAATAAACAAAATAAATGCTCAGTGCGTATATGTACAGAGGTCAAAGGTCACTGCAGCCAGACGTTAAGAGGGAGCAGAGTGAACCTGTGTGACAGAGGAGAGATCAGAATAAAACTACTGGCTGATATGAAAAGGTAGAAATGTTTTAACCTCACACCCAGACAGACGTCAGCGCAGTCTGAGCAGAGGAGGAATGCTGCAGGCGTTTTCACCTCAACTCATGCATCACACACACACACACACACACACACACACACACACACACACAGAACCAGAGTGTGTGAGCAGGTGGAGGGTGATGGTGATGGCAGCAGGTGGAGCTCCATGAATAATGCAGATTGTCAATCATCGGAGGTGTAGAGTGAACGAAGGTAGGAACACCCTGAAGCACAGGCCTGACCCCGCAGCTGACAAGGACTTTTATTCTGAAACAACTGAACCTAAATCACTAAAAGCTGCTGCAAAGGTCACATCAGGTTGAACTCAAGTGTTGTTGTCGTCTGTCCTCTCAGAGTCACTTATCAGAAAACACTTTATAGACAATAGGATCGTCACTTTTTGCAGGATCCGTCCGTCAGAAATACGAACAGAGTAAAAACACTGAGCATTTGGTGCATTCAAGAACCCTCTGACATCTGAGGTTTGCTGCTGCAACACAAACTTAAATAGAATTTAAACTTAAAAATATTGGTTTCCATGGAGACAAAAGGTTTGAGAGTGGCGTAAATCCAGCACACCTGGTTGCTGGACGAGAGGGATGCCGGCCCGACGCCGGCCCAAGCGCTGCTAACGGAGTGAATGAAGACTTTGTCATTTAGGTGCATCTCCTTGTTCTCCGTCCTCTCCACACTCAGATGGGAGAAGAGTGTTGAGTCGAGTTTAGTCCAAGTCAGAGATGTAAAAACGAGACTACACCAGCTGATCTCAGGACGGTCTGAGCATGAGACGGATTATTAGATACAGCCTGTTAATCAGGTTTGTCAAATGTCTTTTCTAAAAGGTTTTTACACAAAGGGATTTAACAACCCGAGAGAACACATTCCTGCTGCACGTGCTGAACATGCAGTTTACAGCTGAAGTGATGAAGTGGATGAACTGGTCTGATTATGGGAGGGGGGGGGGCATGATGAGCAGCTGGGTCAGGGTCTCCTCTGACCTGTCTCCGGTCTCGCTGCAGATCTTCGGGGGTCTGGTCTGGATCCTGGTGGCGTGCACGCTGGTGGTGCCGGCGAACCCTCAGGGCTGGGTCATGTTCGTCTCCGTCTTCTGCTTCATCATGACCTTCATCTGGATGGTGGTGTTCGCCTGCGGGGGGCATCACAACAAAGGCAGCTGGGCCGCAGCCGTAAGTCCTCCTCACATTTACACATCCACTACATTATTTATACCACTATATATTATTAATGCAGTACTACAAACTGTTATTACTACAGTACTGCAAACTGTTATTACTACAGTACTGTAAACTGTTATTACTACAGTACTGTGAACTGTTATTACTACAGTACTACAAACTGTTATTACTACAGTACTGCAAACTGTTATTACTACAGTACTGTGAACTGTTATTACTACAGTACTACAAACTGTTATTACTACAGTACTGTGAACTGTAGGCTCTGTCGACACGTTGACATCAGAGAGGAAGATGTTAAAACCTTGACGACAAACAATCAGTAAATATGGAGGTTTGTAAAAGAGACAAAGTGAACGCAGCATCAGGGAGAGTTTTCAACACAGCATCATTAAGTTATTTAACCTTCTTCTTCTTCTTCTTCTTCTTCTTCTTCTTCTTCTTCTTCTTCTTCTGCTGCTGCTGCTGCTGCTGTCAGGACTTTGCGTATCACGGCATCGCCGCCTTCTTCTACCTCAGTGCTTCAGTTTCTTTGGCCAAAGTGACCCTGGACCTGAAAGATGACAGCCAGAACTTCCAGAGCTACCAGCTGGACATCTCTGCAGTGGTGAGTTTCCATGCCGGTGAAGTGGATGATTACCTCCTTCAAAAACCAATAAAACTAATTATTAGAGATTAGTGTCTCTCTGTGGTTGTTTTGTGTCTCTCTGTATTCATGTTGTGTCTTTGAGGCCGTTTAGTAACTCTTAAAGTGACGCTCTCCAGGTGAGGCAGAGGTGTTGTTGCTTGAAAAACTGCAGCTTATTGGACAGAGAAAATACTTAAATCTTAAATCTCCGAGCTTCTCACGTGCTCCTGAACACACCGTGGAGGAAGTGTGATAATAATTAGTCATTAATGGGATAAAACCTGCTCAGACACTGGTAGACCAGATCCTGTAGATACTCGTGGTCCTCAGAGGAAGAGTCCTGACGACCCTAACGACCCTAACGACCCTGGCGACCTCCTGACCTTTTGTCGTCTTTGTCTCCTCAGGTGTTCTCGTACGTGGCGACTCTCCTGTACTTCATCCATACCATCCTGTCCGCCATCCGATGGAAATCTTTCTAGACACCCCCCCCCCCCCCCCCGCAGAGCCGGGGAGCAGCACCAGAACAGAACTGATTTTTATTCATGAAGCCTGTACATGAAGCTGTGGCTCGCCGACATGAAGGGAGGGGGACGACTGTGGAGCAACATCTGGATCACTGCAGCTGTGGCAGTGATCTGAAGTGATGGAGGACAGCTGAGGCCGACCCTGATGGACAGCGTCACAGCTGACATCACACACAACAGCTGTTTCTGCTGAGGCTGTAAATACAAACAACAACAAGCAAACAAACAAACAAACAAACAAACAAACAAACAAACAAACAAACAAACAGCTCACACAATGTTCACTTATTTACTGCACCAAAAAAACGTTGTCACTTTGAGCAACTCTTCATCAGACGAAGATGCGATGGACGGCGCCATCTTGAATCACATGATGCCGATCACATGACGAGGTCACATGTGAACAGTTTCTAATAGGTATTACAGCTCTGTCACATGACTGGCATCATGTGATTTAAGAAGGCGCTGTCCATCGCATCTTCGCCTGATGAAGAGCAGCCGTGCTCCAAACGTCACTGTTATTTATTTGTTTGTTTGTTTGTTTGTTTTGCTGCAATAAATAAGTGAAACGTGTTTGTTGTGTTTAGTTCAGCTCTGAGCTGTGACTGGTCGGCAGAGCTGCAGAACAGTCTCTGCTTCAGGTACGAACACAGCAGACTACAAGTCTCAGAAGTGAGAGTTTCACCTGTGAACAGGTGAAACTCCGGCCTCACACATGAACGTCACGCTGAGTCACACACCAAACAGAATCACATCGAACTCAGTAGCAGAGCTGTGTCTGAGGGTTTCTATTATCTTGTCCAGCCTCACCTGTTCACTCTGCCGAGCACCTGTACAGGTGTTCTCCCTTCAGTTTGGTCTTCTTGTTTTACTCTCAGCTGATTACGGAAAGGCTGCTTTTATATTTTTATAAGCTTCTCAACTTTGTCAAATAGATTTAAAAATGTGATTAAATGTGGGTACGAACAGGAAATGGAGCCAGGATGTAGATTATGAAATTGTTTTGTAATGTAGTCCTTTGTTTTTGTAATTTTTTTTTTTTTTTTGAAATATTGAATTAATTGAAAATGAATAAATGTGTTTGTTTTGAAACATTTGAAACATTTCTTTGGTTCATTTTATTCAAACATTTCTCCAAAAATAAACATTCATGACTTTAATTGTAGATAGAAAAAACATGTGACGTCAGGTGGTGGAAAAGCTGAACATCTGTCTGACGAGAACATCATCACTACGGACCTGTGATCTGACAAAACATCACCTGATCAGAACCTGGAAACCACATCAGCATCATCAGCATCATCATCAGCAGCATCATCATCATCATCATCACCATCATCAGCATCATCAGCATCACCATCATCATCACCATCATCACCATCATCATCAGCATCAGCATCATCATCATCACCATCATCATCATCACCATCATCACCATCATCACCATCATCATCACCATCATCAGCATCAGCATCATCATCAGCATCATCATCAGCACCATCATCATCATCAGCATCATCACCATCATCACCATCAGCATCAGCATCATCATCAGCACCATCACCATCATCATCATCATCATCATCAGCATCACCACCATCACCATCATCATCATCATCATCATCATCATCATCATCATCATCATCATCATCATCATCATCATCAGCATCAGCATCA